TGCGGATTGTAAACAGCCGGCAAAGCTGCTCAAGTGTCCCAACAAGTTAACAAGGAAACAGAACACTGGGCGGGCGGGCGGACCTGTGAGAAGTTAGCAACCCACAGCAGGAATCCCACCCCTGGGAGGCCTATTCTCCACTAGGGACCGACTGACATACATTTCTAGGAGCCAACCCAGATCCCAAACCTTCCCACGGAGGGCTCTTTTCTTTTCTACCATTTTTGTGTTAAAATGTTTTATAACATATATATTTTATAATGTGAAATTTGTCATTTTAAGTGTACTATGCAGTGGCATTGTTCATATTCATAATCCTGTGCAAACAGCACCAGAGCTATTACCATAACCTTTTCGTTGTCCGGGACTGACACTGTATTGTGGACCCACTAAGGAGCAACTTCACTCCCCTCAGCCGCTGGTAATTTCCACTTTCTGACTCTATGAATCAAACCATTTTAGATACTTTGTATCAGTGGAATCATGTAATATTTTTCCTTTTGTATCTGGCTGTTTTACTCACCATGATGTTTTTAAGGTTTGTCTGTGTAGTAGCATGTATCAAAATTCCAACCCTTTTTCATGGAAAAGTTATATAAATATACACATATAATTATATATGTATAATTATATATTATATATGTATATATATATATACACACACACGTATCCATCCATCCACATTTTGGACATCATGAATAGTGTTGCAATGAACACCGGTGTACAAGTACCTGTCTTAGGTTGGAAGGAGTATGTAGCTAGGAGTAGAACTGCTACGTCATTTTCTAGGCAATTTTATGTTTAACTTTTTAAGGAGGTCCCAAACTACTTTCAAAAGAGGCGCTGGTGGTGTAGTGCTTAGCATAGCTGCCTTCCAGACTGCTTTCATAGCGGGCATATCATTCTACATTCCCGCCAACAATACACAGGATTCCAATTTTCCAACATCCTGACCAATACTTGTCATTTTAGCTACTGGAGCTGTGCAGTAATATTTTTAGATGTGATTTTATTAGTTAATTTCTCTAAATATCTCATCTTTAAAATTAGTGGTTAAATAATAACTAATAAATTCATCATTATTAAAACATACAGTTTGAAAGCACTTTTCAGTAAATTACAAATGGCTAAGAAATAGCCTTCTTACATACTATTTTTCTGAAGATGCACTTAAATAATATACAGATAATCCTCATTTAACTATCTACCTATATAATGACTGCTCAGACTTAGGACCAATGGGCACTGTATGGATTTATGATCCATTTTTTTTTACAGTTCTGTACATCTTGTTTACTGAGCCTCAATGTCTCTTTTGTACAGTACACATTTTTATATGGTACTATAATTTTTGCTGATTGTACTGTACTGTATAGAACTGTAGTTTTATGTTGTTATACATTACAGTACTGCATATAAGAGTTTTGCAAATAAAAGCAAAGTCATCAAGTTGGAATTTCCTTTGACCATTTCTTTGTTTTGAATTTTGTAATGTACACACTATACACAATTCCTCACTTAGTAAGCAGTTCATTTAGCAACCTAGGCTCAGGAACTGACTTATCAGTCATTAAACGAGGAATGTCTATGTACTTATGATTTTCTTAGCTGTCATACTGGTTTATAATCTTAGGCCTCAGGTTGAGGAAGTTACATTGTCAAACCTAGGGAATATCTACTGTAGCCTAAAATCCTATAAAAGAGTAAATGGTTCTAAAGCATGTGGAATATCATATTAATCATGGTGACTGTCATAAAAGCTGACATCCCTTAAATATTATTAAAATATGGAATTTAGGGTACATCCATAACCTTAGTTTTGGCTGGCTGACTATAGCCGGGTGCCAGCATTAGAGAGTTAACCTACAGTTTTTATACCTGGGTAATAAAACAAACTTAAATTGCTTTGGCTTCATTTTGTGCCTTCTAATGTAGAAGATAGTTTTTAAATAATTAACTCAATGGTCACTAGTAAAATATTATTATTCATAAAATTCTTGTTTATTGTACCATACCCCAAAAATAAAGTTATCAGGATAATCACAAGAGCTTATCGTTTAGAAACTCCTGGCAATGTATTAACTAATTTAAGGTTAGCAATGCAAACACAGATTGTGTGGGTGTTTGTAACAGTGCATGTAGGAACCCACACATCTATTCCATCAGATTGTCCCTTTAGAGGGTTGGAAACTTCCACAATATATGAGGCAGCTAAATACAAGTAACTCTGCAACAAAGTTGTTCCATGTATCTCTTCTACAAGGCCTGTAAGCAGGAGGACACTCAAATTATCTAAGATAATTAACTATATAAAATGAAGACAAGTTACTCTCTTAAAAAGATGAGTGCCCTTGCACTAACAACAGAGACTCCGTCCCTTTATATGAGCCTGGATTTGTGGGTCATTCTCCCACAGTGTAACACACCTACAGGAAGACAGCATGCCTGCCACAACATCCAATTATTTATGTAGCCTGCTACAGAAACTCAACATTTGTTCCACAAAATAACAAATGTTTTAATAACACTACTGCTTCCAGCAGAATCTCAGCCAGATTAGACATCGTCAAGTCTAAATTCAGCAGATTCTGAAACTGCTGCGAGACATTCTCTTCTTCCACACTACATAGTATATACCAAGTTAGCTTCTATACCAAGTTAGCTTCGCATAGTGAAAAGAATGTGATTAGGAACGCAAAAACCCAGGTCCCTTCCCGGTCATCTCTCAGCTGGTTGTGAATGTGAGTGACTTGCCTGAACCTTCAGAGGTTTTATTCCTTTTTTGCAACTGAAAGATAACTGCCATGTCCCAGTTGTGACTGGGTGAATCACAGTTGGCTAAAGCTGGAAGTGGAATCAAATACCAGAGTCACGATGTAAAAAAATAAGGAAACTAAGGTTCAAGAGGTTAATGATTTGCCCCAGATCACAGAGCAGATAGTTGGCAAGCTGAACTGGAAGTTATTCATGATAGTTAAATAGATTATTGCGTTTCTATAGCAACTGCATCATACAGTAAATGTTTTAGGCAAGAAATACTTTCAAGTAATGGTAGGTATGAGTTACATTATCATTAGAGAGTGAACCCCTCACTTAAAGGACTAGAGATCCCCTAATCAAATATTTACTTTTACAGATGAAATCCTAAAATTATAGTAACTGGAATGAGAACTGAGGTCTCCTTTTTCTTTGAAAACAAAAAGTCATTCGATATATAATTGACAATGTGAAATAGGAAGAAAAGGTCTAAAGGGGTAGGGGAAGTGGGAGGGGTAGGGAAAAGAAAAGGAGAGAGAAAAGGAAAAAATGGAAACAACGTCTTTGTAAATAGGGAGGATTGGAGGGGTTGAAGGAAGGCCAGGGGAATGGGGAAAAAATAAGAACCAAAATACGTCATGTAAAGGTAAAGCTCCCAATGATGAATGTAACTATATTGTATACCTAAAATGTACCAATAAACTTAATGGAAAAAAAAGTCATTTTGTGTTTTAAAACTCTTTATAAATTATAAAGGGTTTAAAATGTAATTGGTGGAAGTGAAAGTTGAGATAAGCAATTATTGTGCATTGGCTTTGAGGGAATCCTGTAATTGTTTATTATGTTTTTTAAATTTTTATTTTTATTAGTCCATGTTTGCAGTATATAATGATTAGATTCATCATGTGGAGTTGGCACATGGACATGACACATCTTATTTCTTTTTATGTCCACTTCCCCTCCCCTTCCTCCCTCCTTGCTCCATCTCTGGGTCCCCTTGGAACTATGTGGCTTAATGATTCTTGTGGGCATTTTGATTTATGTTTGGTGTAGGGTAATGAAAGACTGGAATAGTGGCTATTTTATGCGTAAATCTAAAGGTCAGGACTCAAATCTGGTTAAGAGATTTGGCTAGCTTTTGCAGCTGAAAAGGACTTCCTCGTGATATATACTGTGAGATTCGGGGCAAAGGTACTGCCACTCTGGGTGTAAAGGTCTAAGTGCAATATTGAGAATTGTACTCTGAGCATTAATATAATTGTGACCTGTACTGCTCACACAAGCTGGAGTGATCCAAAACAGTAAGATTATACACTAGCAGTAATAAAACAACAGATGTACCCTAACTTACAGAAACTTTGACCTTTATACCTTGGGGTTATTATCCAGACTAACCTTAATATATATTTTCCAGACTAATCTTGATATATTTAACATCTGTGCTATTGCCAAATCAATATTGGTTAAATAAAACTTTCACCATGTAGCTCTATTTTCAGAATCCTACATGTCCCTCCCCCGTGCATATGGGATATACTTTTTTGGCTTCTGTTTGCTCCATTATCCCAAAATACTGTACTGCTAATGTGAGGCCTTGCAGTAAGTCTTCTTTGTCACAATCCTAATGATTAATAAGTTTACCTGACATTAGAGGAGACTCATTTCCTGAAAAGAACATAGTCAGATATAATATACCATTAAGCTAATAGTTGGTATTTATACTTGTCTTTTCTTCTAAAACCCTAAGATCATTGAAAAATGCAAAATAGACAGTACAGTGTTTATATGTATGTGTACATGTATGTGTTGAAATTTCTCCCTGAAATTCTTCATCAGGCTACTTAGACTCATCCAATCCCCAGTTTAAATTCTAGAACCCTTGACTACAGAGGGAATCAGTTTTCCCAGCAGCCACGTTTTCCCACACACAATTAAGGAAAAAATAAATACAGAAAGCTCTGTTCAGAGAGAGAGAAATATACTGAAAATTACTCAGTATCTATTCTATGGTAGGAAGAACTAAATCATACTCTATTCTAAACCTACCAAAGAACATAAAAACTTTGAACTCCTACTTTGTCATTAAATTTGTGCCAGTTACTCATAAGATGCCATCACCACTCACAGAAACATGACCTGTTTCTGAGTGTGAGGAGTCGTCCTCTTCCATGACAGATGCCCCTGATCTGATCTCAAAGCAGCTTATTGTAGTGTAGACTTGCATGTGTGGAGGTGAAACTTACAGAGCCAAGGTCTACGATGAAGCAGTCGCCCTTGTTGAAACTGTCCCAGCTGAGGGGAACTTCAGTGGCCCTGACCACTCTGCGCCCCTTCACGTGCAGGAGCCTCTGGGCCGACAGGTCGTTGGTGAGAACATGGTTGAGTCCTGATGCCACACCTCCAGCCTGACCAGGGGAGGAAGACAAAACAGAGAGGACATTCATGAGGCGCAGCAAGGCATCAGCAACAGCTGTGTGTGCCCCAACTGGGCCTGAAAGGCCTGAATAAAACAGCCACCTAAGCTCCTGGGAGAAGTTAAATATGGGGAGAGAATTCCTTGGTAAATCAACAGGGTTGTTTCTTTGTTCTTTGGTCTCTTTCTTTTAGCATTTCAGTTTCAAATTGTGAGGACCTTCAGTGTAGAAAACCCTGATGCATAAACCAAGAAAAAAAGAGCCACAGCTCTTGCCTTTTGGGAACTAGTGATTCACAAAGCTTTAATGAGTGAGAACGCAGACAAGGATTTTAGGGAAGAAGAGGACGGGAAGCTGGAAAATCAGAGGTAACAAGCACAGCTAACAGCAGCAGAGGACAGGGCAGCCAGCATTCCCACTATCACACTTAGGACAGAGAAGGGGTGGACAGCTGGCAAAGGAAGAGCTGCTCTTATGCAGGGTGTGTGAGTTTACTTTATTTTCTGGTGAACAGAGCTTATCAAATATGCTAGGCTTGAGTAGTTTTAGCTTAAATAAGGATAGATGCAGCATCTGGATTGCACACCCCAAATTGTGGGGGACTGCCCTATTGATTATGCCCAAAGCAGGCTGTGAGCAGTGCAGGCTGTAAAGAGTTAGCCCCACAATGGGGTTGTTTTGAGAAGTGAGTCTGACCAAAGCCTGCACGACTAGATAAGATGGCAGCCAAGGTCAGAGTGACTCGCACCCAAACTCCGCTCCCAAAATCAAGAACGCTTAGCCTCTTCTCTTACAACCCTTGCCTGCATCAGCAATGTATCCCTAGCAAGCACACATAGCCCTCTCACCCTAACCTAACTATGATGTCACCAATAAATATCGGCAGCTGTGGATGGCCAGGGTCTTTTGCTGCTTGCTCAGCACTGGCCATCCTGGCTTCTCATTTCTCTCTTTAATTCTGTCTTTAAGTCTTTCTTCTTGCTTTTTGTCATAGCACTGAGCAGGAGATCAGAACCTGCCACAGGGGCCTCCAGCACTGAACCAAAACAGAACAAGCCAAAACAAATACAACAGCACTGAATTAGGGAGATACTGAAGAAAAAATGTTAACTGTATCAACTACCATCTGCTTGCACTATCTGCAATCATATTTTAACTTTTTATTGTTTCTAACTAAATGTTAGAAATTGTCTTTATTTGCATAATTAATTATGGGGTACTTTGCATGATTAAGAGGCAGTATAAACAAAACTCTGTCACTGATCAACAAAAGACCTCCTAAAATAATGGTAAGAAAAACTAACTGTATTAAGTAATCTACAAAATAGTTTGACTTTCAAGTTTATTATACAAACATTTACAGTGAATCCAAAATAATGCTTTAAACTACATATGTAATCATTAGCACATTCTTTATTTTTACCTTGACTTTAAATTACTACATTATCCAGGAAAAGGCTTCTACAAATAGAATAGGCTAAATGTTGATTCAGGACAATTATAACCTCACTTTTCAAGAACATTCATTTAATGACCTAGTTATGTTCCTGCAACTGGGCTATTAAATGAATTGGTCACTAAATGAGGAACTGTATATGGTGTGTACATTACAAGATTCAGACCAAAGAAATGGTCAAAGGAAACTCCAACTGGACGGCCTTGCTTTTACTTGTATAACTCTTACAAAGTACTGCGATACATAACAACATAAAACTACAGCACTGTACAGTACAATCAGCAAAAATTACAATACTGCATAACACAGGTATACTGTACAAAAAAAGGACATTTAGGCTCTATCAACAAGATGTACAGAACTGTACCAAAAAAAGATGGGTCATAAATCCGAGTGGCAGGTTTTAAGTCCAAACACAACGCCTCAGTTGTAAGTCAAGAACACTCGTTAAACAGGTCGTGAAATGAAGGATATCTATATAATTTACAAGCCCATAATTTTGCAAATATTACCACATTTCTTAGTTGAATAAAGTAAGTATTATTCAATAAAATAAATACAAATTTCTATCTATACACTACTATTTGGAGCCATTTTATTTTTAAAATTAATAGGAATATATTATGATCTGATTTTTAAAAATAGTAAATAGTGTGATCTAAAAAGGTTATAGCTGGGTGTGGTGGTGCATGCCTATAATCCCAGCACTTGGGAGGCTGAGGCAGGAGGATCAGCAGGAGTTCGAGGCCAGCCTGGGCTACATAGTGAGTTCAAGGCTAGCCTGGACTAATAGGGAGAACTTGTCTCAAAGAACTAAAAAAAAAAAAAAGGTTATAAAATAGAGTATACTTAACAGTCAAGCTAGTCTCACACATAGAACCATCAGAGTGATATACAGTCTGAAAAATTAACATTATTCTATAAGTAATTTTGTCTCTAATATTTAATGCCACAAATGCACAAAGAAAAAACTATATGTTGCATAAACATGTCTGTATCAGACAGTAAATAGTTCTTCCATGAATACCCTGTGAATTAACACTAGAAGCTTCTAGCTCTTCTCTACTTTCACAAGGTAAAATTTTTAAAAAGTGGATAATCCTGGGAACCAGTAGCAGCATAAATACAGGTTTGCTGGCTGACAAATGTGTCGTGGTCACTATCTATGACATTAGCTGAAGGCAAGGTCTTGTTGAGCTTGAGAAGAGTATATCAGAAAGAAATTTAACATAAGGGAGCAGTGTAAGTAACAATCCTCTGTAACTGCTCCACAAGTGCTCAAAGACCTCAGAAAGAAATGACAGACGTCGACCAAAATGAGACAGGAAAATGACCTTACTATTTCCTGTCTGAACCTTGGTGTCTGGCAATTTAATCTGATGTTCGCAGACTTGCTAATGGCTGAGTTTGTCAAGTTTTGTCCCTTCCAAATAAACTGTTTCAGAGGGTAAAGTTAAAATTAAAATTTCGTCCTGACATATGAATCATTTATTTATGTTAAGAGCATCACACAATAGCAATTATCAATACAGGGCCTGGAGTCAGACGGTCACTCTGTCACATACTAGCTAGAAGCCTCTCCAAGCCTTATTTATCTAAAAGGGCAGTAATGACAGAAGCTACAGCATATGAATGTTTATATTAAATGAGATAATATATGTGAAGTCATTAACATATTCCCACAAGCTTGAAATTAACACATGTATTGGGATGAAATTCAGTATAATATATTCATTTTTGCTATTGTGGGTGGTAAATTGTCTCTTCCTCCATATTTCCTTTCAAATACTGTTGCAACCACAAATATTCACATTGTACAATGTCACTAACGATAAGATAGCCAACTGATTGTCTTGCTATAAATTTAATCTCCACTTGCAAATATCCTCTTTCTGAAAAATGTTGATTTGTGGTGATCTTAATGTCAGTAATCAGGACATAATTCTCCAATAACTGTGAAATTACTGTTTATCATGTCCATTTTTGAATATGCGTCCAGAAGTTTGATTTCAAAGCTCCTGCTAATAGCCAGCAGAATTAATAAGTCCTTACTGATTATGTACAGTATAGATCTTTGATTATTTAATTTGATCCTTAATCCTTACAACAGCTGTTATACATTTGACAGAAAGTAAGTACCCCCCCCCAAGGTAAAGAGGTCATATATAGAAAAAATGAGTTCCTAACTAGGACGACGCCACAGCTCCTGTTTTTACATAAGGATCAGCAATTGCTTATTTAAAATGTTAAGTTCATTAACACGAAGGAGATTTTTGGATCATTTGACATAAACACGTGCATGAAGTAAGAGGAGAGGGAGTAGTCTCATGTTTAGAATGCTTTGCATCCTGGTGTGAGATAAAGATTTCAAGAGAGAAAAGAGAATTTAAAACTTGTTTTGTCCTGATCTCAGTGGAATCGCAAAATAGTCAACCAAGGATCTGACAGGAAAAGGAAGAAACAAATCGGGCATCTTGGCAGGCAGGTTAATATGTACTCAGAATGTAGTTTAGCTCTGAGGCTTCAGGCATTCATCGGGGTGTGCAGAGGCCCTGTTGGAACAGGTTGGCTTCTGAGAAGGCTGGGGTCCAAAGGGGCTGCCTAGGAGGATTCCCCACTCTCACTGAACACTTGGGGCTGGGAGTGAGGCCGGTCTGTAACACTCAGGGGGAGCAGTCCAGAAAAACCAACTCTCCTTTGCTGAAAGGCAAAGAACTATCTAGTCATTCATGTTTGTTCATTATGTTCAGAAGTAGTGCCAAGGGCTTGGTGCTTCAAGCCAATCCACGTAAACGTGGGGGTCATGTGTGAGTGTGTGTATCTCTGTCTGTGTGACTGAAGCCCAGTACTTTCAGCTCAGTGGTTTTCCTTGTGTCTAGACTGCACTGTTGGGTATATGTGTGTAGTTCTTTGTAGGAACTGAAATTATAATTGCCATAAATGCTGTGCTTAGGTATTCCAGAGCAGTTGAGAGTCTGAAAGCGTGGCTTACTGGCAGCAAACTCAGAGATTCTCTAGAATAGCAAAAATGAAAACTGCTAAGCTCCAGTAAACAATGTTAATCGTTATTTATTTAATACTTTAATCATAATTTAAAGAGCAAAATAAAAGGAAACAGGCAGATACATAGACCTTTCTCAAATGGGAGGAGACCAAGAGATGAAGGGAGAAAAAAGAGAGGGCAGGGAACGTAAGAAGAACTGAGATGTGTTAGGTACCAGTACCAGCTCCCAAAGGTGAATGAAGACAATCAGTAGAAACAGCAGACACGGACTAATAAAAAGTATAAAAGTTTTAAAAATGTTAATCACCGAAATAACTTTACAATACATTGAAAGCTTTTCTGGTGAAGACAAAACCAAAAATTAACCTATCAAAATAAATTTCAAAGTCAGAATGCTTCACTTTTTACACCATCCACTCCAAACAGGAGTTGAGTACGTACTATGTCTGTCTCCAGCAGGCAGTGGGGACGTAGCAGTCAACAAAACTGATCGAAAAAAGACAGGAACAGAAAAAAAATTCCCCAAAGGACCCTCACTGCACTTTCATCCTCTGAAGACACAAGGGTGTGGACAGAAGGGCAAACTGAAACGGTCGCAGGGAAAGCGTCTGAGAAAGGCGCTTACCTTGTACTTCAGGCCTCCTTTGAAGTAGCCCACGAAGTCTGTGGACTCGAAGCCCTGGAGCTCCCTGCTCTGCACCGGCCTGCCTCCCAGGTAGTCGTCCATCTGGACGGTGAAGATGGCAGCGGCCGTGCTCTCATCCTGCGAGCACTCCTTTCCTGCCGGGCAGAGGACAGCGCCTCAGTTATCAGGCAAGCCACAGTATTAAGGCAGAATTCTTGACGTGAAGGAAATCAAGTCTTTTCAACTGTTTATCACTGCAACAAATAGTCCTCCGCAAAATCTCTTTTAAAAGAATCAGCATACAATATAAAATATTACTTGAATAACTAAAAACTTAGTTTTGTTCCTTTTTCCAACTCCTTTAACATTTTTTTTAAAAACTCTGCTGTCTGAAAATGCTTGAGAAGATATAATAATATATTCTAGTAAGATTCAGGAAAGCATTCATTTGGTACAGTCAGTAAGACCTGGATAGGAAAATATTTTGGAATTGTTTTAGCGTTTATTAGCATTAAACTTTAGGCTTCTAATAATTCACTGTGTTAATGTGGGTCATAATCAAAAACTTCAGGAAATTAAGTGGTTTTTAAAATGGGAAATGAAAAGAACTTGAACTTATATTCATGTTTTAGTCTGTTCCCATTGCACTATCATACTATTCTTTTGTTTGTTCAGAAGGAAAAGGTGGAGTGAAGGATCTAGTATGCTAACATTTACTGAATGCTAATGTATCTGACACTGTCCCAGGAATTTAGCGCACTACGTACACTCAATTTTCATAATTCTAAAACAGATCCCATCCAGACAACTTCACTGGGGTGGAACAAGATGTTCTATGAACCGGGCCGGGGATTTAGCTCAGTGTTTCCACTGCCTGCCTCGCAAGCGAAGGTCCTGAGTTCAATACCTGGTACCCAAAAAACAAGATGTTCTAAGAACCAACATCTGCAGTGTATGGATCAGGGGCAAGACAATTCCAAGGACTGGATTTTATCAAATTTGATTTGAAACTCTTCAAGAGCTGAGCATGGCAGTGCACACCTGTAATCCTAGCACTGAGGAGGCAAGGCCAGCCTGGACTACATAGAACAAAAGAAAACAAAAAAAATAGCTTCAAAATCTTTGCTACCTCAGAGCTGCACAAAAGTCACAAAGCATTCTAGAAAAATAATAGCTCATGGCATTGTTAGTGCCCACTGGTGGGCCACACACTGTGCTAGCGTTTCACACTAATGGTTTTCAAGCAACCACATGAAGCAGAACCTATTTTCTGCCATGTTACAAGGCAGAAAATGGAAGCTTAGAAGGGCTGAGTAACCTTCCTGAGGCTATAAGGTGACCTTTGGCAGAAAAGGACCCAGGTGCAGATTTGACTGTGAAGAGTAGGCTCTTAAAGAAGTACAGTACGTCTGTGGATTATTTTTTATACTACAACTCTCATTAGCAGTAAAGTTGTGTGGAGGTCAGGATATATTAATTCCCCCGGGATAATTGATACATAGAAGTTTAGAAGGTGCAACAATAAAATAGTTCACCTAAACAACCCCAAAATAGAAGAAATCAGTGAGCTATATCAAAAAAAGAATTGTTTCTTCACCATTCCCCATTCACACTCAAAGGTGACTCGTGCAAGGACCCTCTCAGGAAAAACTTCAGCAGCTAGAAGAGTACTAGACATGAGAACAATTTTGTCAGTTTCTGTGGTCAAAGGTAAGTAACACCAAAAACACACATGCAATTTTATACAGAGATGCTTTCAGACAGAACTTTAAGGCAAGGTTAATAAAAAAGGTGTCAAGGATGATGTATTTGCCATAAATATCCTCACCTGACTACAAGTTGAAACTCCAGTCTTTTTAGGTAGATGTAAATAGATAAGCATAAAGTTAGTGAATGAACGAGAATAAATTAAATTATGGTCACTTGCTGATGTTTACATATGTTGGTAGGCCACGGAAGATCAGTTATGAATACACCACAGTTCTTGCCCAAAGGGGTTTGAAAGACCTTAATGAAGCCAATGCCAGCCTTTGAATGTGAAAATTACAATCAGATTCTGTTGTATCATGATGAAACTCTACCAATTATTCAGAAGCATGTGTACTCCATATGAAATTCTGCTTATGAATTCCTTTGGTTTTCCCCCTTGTTTTCCATTCTGTTTATGACTTCATTTGTTGTTTTCTTAAACTGAATGTATGGGTTATGTTAGATTACGTTGTATTATTTTATATTTGGATAGGTTGTTATACTTGTATATATGCTGTAAACCTCATAAAATTTTAGGGGGCCATGGAACAACGTTGTATACAAAACAGATAAAAACAAAGGTTTAAAACGAGGTTACTGCAAGACAGTGAGCACTTTAATAAGAGAACATTTTCAACTTCATAAGTAGTATCTACAAAGAATACAGATCTAGGCCGGGGATTTAGCTCAGTGGTTTTGCTGCCTGCTGCGCAAGCACAAGGACCGGAGTTCGATCCCCGGTACCAAAAAAAGAATACAGAGCTACCATAACACTTATATTTTCCTCATAAGATCGAGAACAATAGCAATCATGTCCACATTCACCATTCTCACTGAGCACAGTATGGGAAATTCTAACCACACAACAATAACGTAAGAAAAGCAAAAAGCATGCAGATTGGAAATGAAGAAATAAAAACTATCTCAATTTAGTGATCACAGGATTGTCTGCAAAGTAAATTCTAAGACATCTACAAAAACTCTCCTGGAATTGCAAGTGCATTTGGCAAAGATACAAGATAAGTCGATTTAAAAAAATTGGTCATACTTCTACATAGAAACAATGAAAATACAGAAACTAAAATTTAAAATGTAATGCTATTTATTATTGCTACAAAGAAAATTAAGTACTCAGGCATATATTTATCAAAACATATATGGTATCCATATGATAATTACAAATTGGTAATGAAGAGAATCAAAGAAGACAAATAAACATAAAGCACAGCATCCTTGTACTGGAAGATTCAACATAAGAATGATATCAGTTCTCACCAATTGATCTATAGTCCTAAAGCTATTCTTATTAAAATCATAGGAAGGCTTATTATAGACGTATATAAGACATATCCATGTAATTATGAAATGTATATGGAAAGGCACAGGCCCCGGCATAACTAAAATAATCTTAGGGCTGGGGATTTAGCTCAGTGGCACCGCGCCTGCCTCACAAGCACAAGGTCCTGAGTTTGATCCCCTCTACCAAAAATAATAAATAAATAAAAATAAAATAAAATAAAATAATCAGCAAAGAAGCCTAAGGAAGGAGGCATCACTCTATCTGGTATGAGGGCTTCCAATCAGCTACAGTAACAAGGCTGGAGTGTATCGGCAAAGAGACACACAGATCAACTGACCCAGTTTCCCTCACAGTGACGTCTCATAAAACTGCAGTGTGATTCAGGGTTCTGTAGTGCACTAAGTTCTACGTGTACAGGTACAGTTTTGCACAGAATCTCAGTGAGGATGTTCACACTGATAAATTCCAGCTCTCCTGTTCACATCTCCCCAGTTTTACACATACTCATTGATGTGTTTGTGCATTTAGTTGTATAGTATTTCACACATGTATAAATTCATAAATCTGCCCTAACTGAAATCAAGATACTGTAGAGTTCCATCACCTTCAATGCCCCACCTGACTCCTAACTGCACTGCCTCCTCCCAAACTATCTCTAACTTCTGGTAACAAATCTACAGTTTTTCCATTTCAGAACTATTATACAGATGGAATTCCACAACACATTTTGGCCCTTTTCTAAAACTCAACATAATTCCCTGGAGTTTCATCCCAATTGGAAATCTGTAGCTTGATCCTTTTTATTGCTAAATAATAAACCCACTATGAGCAATTATGTATAGGTTTTTGCATGGAAATAAATATTAAATTTCTGGAATAAATTGCCATTCATGCAATTTGTGGGTTATATGGCAGTTGCATGTTTAATTTTGTTCTCTTTTTTTTCTTGTTTTTTTTTTTTTGAGATAAGGTCTCCCTATGTATTTCAAGCTGGTCTTGAACTCACTATGTAGCCCAGGCTGGCCTCAAATTCATGGTGATCCTCCTGCCGCACCCTCCCAAGGGCTGGGATTACAGGCAGGTGGCACCAAGCTTGGCCACGCATTTAATTTTGTAAGGAACTGCCGAACTCTTTTCCAAAGTGCTCTAACTTTTTATATGCACCAACACCCCACAAACCCAGCAATGTTAATTATCCAGTTTCTCAGCATCCTCACTCAGTTTTATGTGGGTTCCTTGTGTTGCATATTATAATCAATCCCCAGTGCCTTGCACAAGGCCTGACTCAGACTAGTTATAACATATATGGGTATTGCTTTAAAACATATTTATAGAAAGTCTTAAACTCGCAAGGAAAAGGGTACAGGCTAAGTATTTGTAGCATAGATTGGGGATGTGGCAGGGACTCATTTTCTAACTATTCCTGCTCACAAAATTGAAGGAACCAGAAACTGAAGGTGGATGCATTTAAATAGGTACAAAGCTGAACTTTTTTTTTTAAGGACTCGTGCAAAAGCTCTTGAGTTATGTGCAACAAATTCTTACTTTCTGTACATTTAAACGTATAATGCTAATACAAGGTTAGGTATGTGGAATAATCTGAGATATGCAAGGTGACTGAAGCCCTGAGAGAGGCCTGGAAGAACAACGACCGCTGTGTTCTCACTCACCTTAGGTCCGATTTCTTCCTGTTCCCCTTTTTTTCCTTCTACTTCTCCTGTTTCCTCATTTCTGTGCTGTGCCATTTCCTTTCCCAGTCTGACTCTAGCGTCACTTCTCTTCCTTCCAATCGATTTCCTGACTTCTTTCAGTCAAATATGCCTTTTCCCTGAACTTTTAGTTCTCCCCCCTGGAACTTTCTCTCAAGCCATCTCTCTGATTAACCCTCGTGAATTTGTCTTAAGTCTTGGAGGAGATTTAGATGAAATTCAATTTGCTTAAGGAGCTCAAGTAGGAAATGCTGGACAATTCCCTCTTCAGACCCTGTTGACTAAGGTTTCCCACCTCCCCATGACCTTCCTTTTCCCCATTTCCATCCAGGCCTCTCTCTTTCTCTGTAACAACCTTGCATCTCTTTCACACTGCTTACCTCATTCTGCTAGTTACCTCACTGTCTCATCCCACCGTTCAGATGATAAAGTCTCCATGGAGTTGCCTAAAGTATTCATCTCCCAGAGGGCCTCACACAGTGCTTTTTTGTTTTGAAATTGGTGAGCACTAAACAAATAATGAAGAGTTAAGGTGAACCTGCAAACCCCGCCAAATATGCTGCTTTGGGAACCTACCTGGGTAAGAAAAAACCTTGTGGAATTAAAGACTTGTGTTCAAAGCCTACCTGCAGTCTTCTGACAAAGTCAAGTGTAACTGCCGTGTACAGCAAGCTACGTCTGTTATACATTTTAGTTCCCCAACAATGGCAAATATGGCATTTCAGAGACTTCTGCACTCCAGGCCCAAGTTCTGGATGGAAAGACTACATCAGTCGTTCATGAACACAGATCATATATAAAGATTTCGCCATTCTCTGGTATAAAATATAGACAGAGCACTATGCATTAAAATATAACAGAGCCCTGACACTGCAATGGGAAACCAAACTGTGTTTCACAGTTCGCCTCAGCCCCCTCCAACACCTGGCTGGACCCCAAAATTCCAACACCAAACGCTGAGGTCAAGACTGCTGTCTTCCTCTGTTTCTTTCTCACCAACGCCTGCTCCAGGTGTTTGCTAATGCTTAGATGGTCACTCCTCCAAGTTTTCTATTTATTATCTTCAGATGCTAGAAATAAAAATGTCAGCTTTCAGAGACTTGTAAATGTTGAGTGTGTGTGCTTTTGTGTATTTTCCTCTGAGCTCAAGAATAAAACTAAAGAAACAGAAGTCGAAAGGAGGCAAAGCTACTTTCAAAAGAAGGCAAACAGGCTCAGACCACCGGCAGGCTGTTGGACGGGGTGTGTCCGCGGGCACAGGACCGTACAGTGCGAGGGTGGATACGGGATGTTTACCAGGAAAAGCAGAACACACAAGCCCCAGTGTCCCGAGAGCCTGGCATGAAGGGAGCCCATTTTAATTACTACCGTACTGGGGAAGGGGCCGTTCAGGTCCACACAACCAGGTCCTGGTTAAAACAGACGAAGAATAAACTAAGTTTAAAAAAACAGCCTGTCTGAATAAATAAATTACCCATATAGAGTTATTTATATAGCTAAAATCCCCCCTCCTCGCCTGCGAGAACTGCTGTTAGAGAAGAGCCTTGATTTCACACAATCCGGAAAACTCATCCTAGAAATTAATGAAAAAGGGGCTGGGGATTCAGCTCAGTGGTTCTACCGCCTGCCTAGCAAGCGAAAGGGCCAGAGTTCGTTCCCCGGTACGAAAGAAAAGAGAAGAAAAGAAAGGGGAAAATACAAGCTAGAGGCCAAAAGCAACAAATAATAAGAAGTTAATGCATTCACACACACACACACACACACACACACACAGACTTCTCGCCAGCTGGGCACAGACTCGTTCGACTTCATCCCCGCCCACTGGTGAACCGGGACTGCGAGCCCCGAAGGTGATGGGAGCGAGGCCAGCAGGAGGGCGTCGGGAGGCGGCGCCCCTGGCGGGAGAGGGGTTTTGGGGATGCAAGGGTGAGAAGTCGAGGAAACGACTCGAAAGCCTTGGCAAAGGTCACAGCCAGCGGGCGGAGGCCGGGTTTGCGGAGACCCGAGCCGTTCAGCCCGGGAGGCCGACGCGCCGGGTCCGCGCGCCCCTTCTGCCCGGTGCCCGAAGTCCGGCCCCGGGCGCCGCTTACCCAGCCAGAAGTGCAGGCGGTAGGCGAACCCCCGGCTGGTCCGCGCGGTGTGCAGCACCACGTAGGCGTCGCCCACGAAGAAGTCGCCGTGCGCGCCTTCGGGCACCGGGACCAGCTCCAGCTCCTCGATCCTCCAGATCTGCAGCCCCGCCTGCCTGCCGGCGCGGGCGAACTCGGGGTGGTGCAGCTCCTGTGCCATGCTCCCCCGAAGCCCGGCTGAACCCGGACAGCTGGAGCGAGCCGGGCGCCGACGCTTTATAGGGCTCGACTCGGGAGGCGGGGCCCAAGCAGGAGGGGCCGGGTGCCCAGGCCGGAGTCGCCCGAGGAGTCAGTGGCTCCCCGGAGCGCGGCGCTGGGGCCAAGCTCCACGCCCTTCGCGGGCGGGCCGAGGAGCGGGCGCCCCGGAACCTGGGGCTCTGGAGGGGGTTCCTGCAAGCTCCTGGAAGGCCCTCTTCCCCGCAACCGAAGGAGGAGATGAGTGACTCAAATGCGCAACCACTCGCCTTCTCCCGCCAGTCCTGTTTGTTACTAGTGGGTCTCAGCGGGGCCAGGCGCCCGCGGCGAGGTGAGGAGAGCGCTGCCCGCCCGGGGCGAGCGGATCCAGAAGGCTTCTGCTTGGACCAAGGCCCGCGGCAAACCCTGCCTTTACGGAGCAAAGCGACTGGGCCCCTTCGTCCGGCCGGAAGAACTTCATGCGTCGTCGTTTTAAAGTTCTTGATCATCAAGGTCATCCTTTCACTGGTCAGTCTCTCCATTCCTGTGGCCCGAAGTTCCTCCCCGTCTCGAGCTTCCCGGCCTGAAGATATCAAGCCCAGCAGCAAGTCAGAAGTCTGGGCGCGGCGGCTTTAGAGGCTGAGGCAGGGGGATGGTATCACTCAGTCTCGGAGACTGACCTAAGCAATTAAGAGAGACCCTGTCTCAAAACAAAAATTAGAAAGAGTGGTGACATAGCCCAGTGCAAAGACCTTGAGTTCAGTCCCCAGTCCTGAGAAAAAACAAAACAAAAAGAATGTCAGGTTTCTTAGAAAGGATCAAACCTGAAAAACTGTCCTACCCTGGGGACACAGCGCTGCAAATCCCCTGGAGTTCAGGAGCTGAGGATAAGGTCTATGCCACCTGCTTCCCTTGGCCCAGAAAGTTACAGAAAATAACAGCAGCCGCCCTCGTGGGAGGCTCTCAGGCAGGGCTGTTTACAACTGAGGTTGTATGGTGGCCTGCCTTTTGTTTTGTTTTGGTACCGGGACCGAACTCGGGTCCTTGCGCTTGCGCAGCAGGCGGCGAAACCACTGAGCTAAATCCCCGGCCCTCCCTTAATTATATTTTAAAATAGGTGACCATGTTAAAAATCCAATAGTACAAAATGTGTGCAACTAAAATGTATCTGCATTTCACACTGCCGCCCAGCTGCCCTCCGTGAAGCCAGCTAGGTTACTAGTTTCTTGTGCAATTTTCCAGATACTCTTTCATCAACAAGAATATAAGTAATATAGTTGTTTTTTAAACAGATATGTTAAATTGCACATTGTCCTGAGTCTCTATCTCTGCGTGCGTGCATGCTTGCATATCCTGAGCTCAGGAAGAACTTTCACAGCCTCCTGAAAATACCCTTAGGAAGAACTTCCCCTGGCAAGAGAATGTGTGTGCGCCTCAATGCACATCACTTACAGAGCTGCCTCTTAGGATACTCTGGTATCCCAACTAATGGATGCAGTATAATTTATTTAGTCTGTCCAATTGGTAGCCATTTAAACGTGTCTATATTTTGCTAATACAATGTTGCAAACATTTTAAACATAATGTACTGTGCATCTGCATTATAACTGTGAGATAAATTCTTGTCATTGCTAGAGGGTTAGACTTAAATAGTTTTAGGACAGTGAAGATTGCTATGAAACCAGTCACTTCCGCTTGCTAGTAGGCTGTGGTACAGAGCACCCAGATTCAATTCTGAGGTTTTCTGCAAGTCACCTAACTATGGCAAACCTCGAGTTCCTCATCTACAAAGTGGGACAGCGATAATTTTTGTCTCCTAAGATTGGGATTTAGAGGTAATGGATTGACACAAGTCAAGCATTTGTGTCTGTTACATAGTAAATGGTCAAGTACTAGAAACTATTGCAAGGTGGTGGTAAGAGTCCTTTTGTTTCTCTAGATGCCTTTTCCAGCCTTCCCTGGAGACTGACCTGGCTAAAAAGCAACCTGGCCCTGATGTCCTCTAACTTGGCATTCTGTTGGAGGGCAGAAAGAGGAGAGTGAGGTCACAGTATGTCTTAGTCCATTTCCTGCTGCTATGACAGAATACCACAGGCTGGGTAATGTACAAAGAAAAGAAATTTCTTGCAGTTCTGCAGGCTAGGAAGCCCAGGATCAAGGGGCCACATCTACTTACTGCACAAGGCCCTTTTTACTGCACATCCCATGGCAGAAGCAAGAGAAGGAACTCCCAGTCTCTGGCCCTGCTGTAATCAGCGCTAATCCACTCGGGAGGCAGCGCTCTCAGGCTGAATCCCATCACAGTTGAAGGAGCCACCTCTTAGCTCTGTTGCATGGGGAATGAAGGCTCCAACAACTGTTTTAGGAAGGGGTAGCCCCTTCGAATCTCAGAAGAATTTTTAGTTCCTTGGCTCCCTCTAACAAAGGGCACAGGTCCATATAGGGAAATAACTCTAGGTCACTTTCTCTCTCACTTTGGAGGACAGTAATTTTCTCCTTACATAAATTGACCCTTTGGTTTCTCTGCCTCTCCGTGTCTTTGCATAGCATCTTTAAAACAAAACTGCTTTTCCGATTTTGAGTGCAACTCATTGTAATAGGTTGAGAGCCTGACTGGTAAGCTTCACTACCTACATTTTTCTCTCCTAACCAGAACAATGAAAGGTGGGAATGATAAACTCATCTTTTTACGGGCGCGGAAACTGAGGGTATGAAATTCATCCCAGACCACCCAGCTGGGAAAGCACCCAAAGAGGGATTCAGACCCACTTATTAATTCCAAGGAGCTTCCTCATTTTATTCTCTCAACCCAAGTTATTCTGCCAAACTTTCTTTACCTAAGTAGTCTTTATATCTTCATTTTCTTTCAGCTAGGACCTAAAGGAACTTGTGATCTAGTGTGGCCCACACAGCACCACAAAATGTAGTTTTAACAGTTTCACTGAGCTGAGATGGCTTGTTTTTCTTATTGGTTTGTTCTCTTCCTCCCTGTAGGGAAAAAAATTTATGAGAAGTGATGTTAAGATAATTATTGTGCAACAGTGTTAATACAGGACCATACTGGGCGCTGAGGCAAAGGATTACACTGACCCTGCCTTTACTGAAAATTCTCTATGTTTGGTTCATCATTTTTGCACTAATGTTGATATTCTGTGAAGCACTGCATTAACATACTATCTGTCTTGATTGTGTTTTTTTACACCTCATTACATTTTGTGCCTGAGGCATGTGCCTCACTCTCCTGATGCTTCCCGTCCTGGGTAACTGAGTTCAAGCTTCCAGCTTCCTGCTACACACAGTGACACAGCCATCATGTGAAGCAGAAAGTTAGTCACTAGCAAGCTGGAGACAAATGGCTGAGGGCTACTTGAAAAGCAAAGAAGATGTGGTTTTTCTTTACTGTCTTACTTAGTTATAGCTAAGCCACACAAGCTTGTGGTTGCAAACTTTAGCTCAAGAGACTGTAGCATCCTCTTGGTGTGCTGATAAGGTTCAGGGCCCATAGAAAGTTCAGACCGTCTGTGAGGGGTTGGGTAAACCTCACGGTCTCAAAACAAACCAAATGGAGACATCCAACTAAAAAGTAAATAGAGACCTACTTCTCCACAGTAGGTAAACACAGCCCGTTCGGTTTGTACAAAAACAACAACATAGTCAGGGGTGGAGAACAAGGCAGAATCCTAGGCCTTTACCTGCTGGCCATTAAAAACATGATTTGTGGGACCGAGGATTTAGCTCAGTGGTTCCACCACTTGCCTCATAAAACATGATTTGTGTTTTTTCCTGGGACAGTCAGAGACCTAAAAGCCATTTTTGCTATGAATTGTAACTCTCCACTTGTGCCTAATAGGTACCTAGGATTCCCAATAGGCAACTAAAAGCAAAACAAAATTTTACTTTCATGTTGCATCCTTTGTTGCTGTGAAATCTGGGTCAAAGATATATTAATCACATAGGGAGTGTCTGTCTAAAACTTGCCGAACCCAGGTGGATTAGCATAATTGGCATAATCCCACAGCTTCAAGATCAAAGACACCAGGCTGGACAATTTCCAGGGACATCCAACTCTGCTTGAGAAGTCTCCAGCCACGATGCTGAGCCTGCTTGTCCTGAACCTGTGATCACCTGGTAACAAACCAGCCCCCAGCCACAAAGATTCCAGAACTGGGGCACCAGGACTGAGATGCCATGATCCCAGGACTGAGATGGCAATCAGCCGGACCCCATCCCACCGGCTAATCCTTCAAAGCTGGTCTCCCGCCTTTCCTGACAGACCAGTCTGAACCCCTGAATCAAAGTTTGCCCCTCCAGCTGCCTAAACTGGAGTCTTTTCCTATCTTCCCTCCAACTTCCCAGTTAAACCTTTTTCTCTCCTATAACTTTGTGCTTTGGTTTTAATTTCTATTATTACTTAAAGCAAGGACCCAAGCTAGCTGCTGTCAGTAGCTAGCTAATTGATCCTCTCCATGTCAAGTTCAGCATGTTCACAATAATGGCATCTTTTCCTCCAAACTAGCTTCTCACATTTTTGTCTAATTTTTTTAGAGGCACCATTTAATTTGGATTTAGCAATCTCACTTTATCTTCACCTCCAATCAACAGAGCTGAGTTTACCTTCACAGCTGTGATGTAGTGTTGAATTCTTGATCTTTTGTTCTCTGGGTGTTTGGTCTTGGACAAGTTACTTAATATTATTGCACCTCTGTTTTCTCATCTGTGGAATAGTAACACTAGTAGAAATTACCCTGTAGGCTTGTCAAGAATTACATGGACAAATACACAAATTTGGAAGAGTACCTGGCACATAGTAAGGGGCAGTGAACTCAACCGACAATGACGAATAACTAAGTCCCTTCTCCTGGGACATCCTATTGGAATAATGTTCCCAGAGTCCTTGGGATAAGGCTGCCCACTTCCTACACAAAAGAGCCTCTGAAATCTGATGTCAGTTTCCTTCCCAGGCCTTTATCTACCCTTCCCCAGTTTCCTAAAAGTGAATCATTTTCTCTGCTTCATGTTATTGTCCTTCCATATCTGTCCA